CCGCCAGGGCCCCACCCAGCGGGCACGCGCGCGGCAGCCGGGGGGGCCACACAAGGAAAACCCAGGCGGAGGGAGCCCGGACGCCACCAGGAGGGGGACGCGCCGCCAGGACCAAGGCGGGGGGGGGGGGGGACCACGCCGCGGAAGAGCGCCGGGGCGAGGGGTGCGTGTGCGCCGACCGCGGAAGAGCGCGCGGGTGAGGGAGGGGGGGGTGCGCGCGCGCCGTCCTGCAGCGTCGCCGACCGCAGGCCAAGGAGCTCGGCTCCTCGAGAGCACCGACGGACGACAAATTGCTCCTCAGCAGTGCGACGCCGAGCTGGAGGCTCGGCCGGGAGCTCGCGCGGGCGCGTGGAGCTTTCCGCTCGGGCCAGCAGGAAACGGGCGCCCCGCACAGCGACGCCCGCCGTAGAGTGCCGAGAGCTCGGCTCGACGCGAGCGCCGAGGAAAAGCGATCGGCTCCCAAGCAGTGGGACGCCGAGCTGGAGGTTCGGGCGGGAGCTCGCGCGAGCACATAGCAAGGTGCGTGCGCGGCGGCGTGACACAGGTGAGCGGGCAGCTGGCGCACATTTCGGCTGTGGGAGCTGCCAGGAGTTTGCTCTCTCCGTTCACACCCCTTTGCAGAATATCATCACAGGCGGGATCAGAAGGAGACTCCGCACCGGACTCCGGACACCGCCTGGGCACAGACTCCCTACCCATCGGATCGCACAGGGCCCCCTCGGAGCAGCCCACACACAATCACGCATCAGCAGAATTATTGCCTGAGTCAGGCGGACAGCACAGACAAGGAGAGGAGAGAGAGGAGAGCGAGCGAGAGAGGAGAGGGGAGAGGGTGAGGGTGTGTGCACACGTGTGGAGAGGGAGGGTGTCTGTGGTGGGCTGTAGTCATACTACGTGGTTACAACCACGCGCCCCTCAGGACACTGTCACTGTCACCTGACACTGTCACTGACACAATCTCACACGACACTAGGCCAGCTGGGCTTCGACACATCGCCATTGTTTTTTGCCCGGCCGCGCGCAGCGCTAATCGGGCGCCCTTTGCTCGCTCCTTAGGTTAGGTTAGGATGGTAGGAAGGTGAAGAACAGCCAGGCTCGGACTGGACACCAACGCGGTATGGGTGGACGCGAGACAGATGATTCGACTGACATGTATCCCGACGTGCCGCGTGGGCGCTGCGCATCGCCGTCCAGCGGCGCCTCGGGCTACCACTCGACGAGGCGCTCGCGCGGGGCGCGCCGACCTGCTCGGCGCGC